CATCGCTGTAGTTTTTTCAATTCTTGAAAGAGCACTTTGGTTCTCAAAATCCAAAGGAACTTGGGCCTCACACATCTTCATTCATCTGACCTCAAGAGAGGAAATACAATTTACACTTGTCCTCTGTCCTACAAAGTCTTGCAGTAGCAGGACACCTTGAATACTATCAGGAAAAGAAAATTTAAAAATAGGGAGAGCATCAGCTCACACTGAAGAAAATAAAATGAAAAAACATACTGGAAGTTATTTCACCCACTCAAGTGTTTTTCATGTCTTCAAAACTTGCAAATGCTTTTTGAATTTATCTAGATAAATCTAGATATACTCAGTGTCTTGACAAAACTCTGCAGCTCGATATGCTCCTGGAAAATTTGGGGGTTGAGATGGAAATAAATCAGGAAGTAATTTAAGGTATAAAAATTTTAAAATACCTTTTTAAGGAAACAAGGTACTTTCTGAAGACAGGTTTTGTTTTTAAACTCAGTTCTGAATTAAAGGGAAACTTTCTGTGGTACGATTTAATTGCAAGTATTAGCTTTCTAGGGAACGAGCAGTCTGGGGGAACAACACCCTCCACAGAAAACCTGGGCTCTCACATTCCACCAGAGGGCTGGGAGCCCACGGTGATGCCTCTTTGGCTTTCTGTTTCTTTGTGCTTTTCTCTGTCCTGGAGCTGAAAGCAGACATTAAAAATGAAGTACTGATTCATAAAATGCTTAAATTCTACTGAAAGACTATAACTGCAGTTTGTCATACATTTTGTCTTCAATATCCATCCCATTTCCACTCCTAGATTTTTTAATTTCTTGACTATCTTTACCTCAATCAAATACTAAAATCTGGCTTTCTGTCACTGTGAAATATTGATCTCATACTTATGACCTATAAAACGTTTCTGCCATCGCTACGCCCACAATATTTCTCAATCAAATACTAAAATCTGGCTTTCTGTCACTGTGAAATATTGATCTCATACTTATGACCTATATTCATAATTTATTCTGTTTTAGCACCTATTAGTCAATTTTAAAGAACATAATTAAGAATATTATAAGACCTTGATGGCTCATGCTCAAGATGTGCAACCCAAAGCAACAGAAAACTTTACTTTTTATTTATATTTATATAATTTTTCCACTACAAAATTAATGAAAAATTCCATATGATTAGTGGCCTGGACTTTTGTTAGAACCCTTATTTCACAAACATCTCTTTTGTCCTGATTCTTCTTTTAATGGTCATCCTTTCATGATTTTGTTGCTGTTGTTTTGGTTTACTGGATTTTTCTTTTTTAACACATTGAAGGACTTCTTCTGCTCTTGCTGCTCTACAATATTTGCTTTATCATGTATCATGGGGTGATGTTCCATGATCTTGAATGATTGTCTTCAAATGCCCACATGACAAACATTGTTTTTACTCGAATATCTCTGAGAGGTCCATCTGACTCCCCTTTATGAATGTATTACATACCAGACGTGTTCAGACTCTGCAATTTACCCTCATAAAGCCCTTCAATGATACAGAAATATTATTGACATTTTACAATGGAACAGAAAACGAGTCAGCTTATTAAGGTATCTAAATGCCTAAGGATGCCTTTTGGGGATTTTCAAGGTTGCTCTGACATATAGCTCTTATTGAACTAATTGAAGATTTTTCACTAAATGCCTAATTTGCATTTTTAGTTTTCTGAAAAGCTTTAAAATCTGACTCACTCGTGTCACCCTTGAAATCCAGTGGACCAGCATGTTAAACCCAGACCTCATTAGCCTTTAAACTCGTGCTCGAAGCACGTGCAGCACTCCCCACAACAGGGGAAAACAGCTGAAATATACTGAGAAACTGAAAAGTAAAGATGTGGCACACACCACAAGCATGCAGTCCCCTCCTGGCCTGAGTCACACAGCCAAGTGCATCAGATGTCAGGCAGGAGAGGAGTGGATCTCCAGGGATCTGGCTGCTCCGTGCTGGGGCTGAGGGGCGCCGGGAGCCGGAGCTTGGACAGAGATGCTGGCACCAGGCTCAGCAGCCCCTCAGCTCCCTCCCCCAGTCAGGGCTGGGTTTTTCCAGCAGCTCCTGACAGGGGACAGAGCCAACATCCATGAATGGCTTCAGCCAAACGTGCTGCAGAATTGTCTGTACCCACCAGGGATCTGGGCAAGTGCCCACTTCATTTCAGAAACACTTTTCAAAGCATGTCCCTATGGTGGTGTTCGAGGGTCTCAGGACGAGGGAAGAGATGAGAATCTTTTTCCATGTTTCAGAAGGCTTATTTATTATATTATGATATTATATTATATTAAAATGCTACACTAAAACTATACTAAAAAGAATAGAGAAAAAAGATCCATCAGAGAGCTGGAAAGGAAATAGAATTATAACAAAATCTTGTGACTGCTCACAGACACAGGTGGCTGTGATTGATCATCAAGTGAAAACAATTCATGTGGAGCAGTGAAAGATGCACCTGTTGGGAAACAATGTCCAGATCACAGATAGTTATTGTTTACATTTCTTTTCTGAGGCTTCTCAGACAGAATAGGAGAAAAATCCTAGCAAAGGATTTTCATAAAAATGTCATGGTGACATGTCCCCAGGCACTAATTCCTGTACATGTACCTCATCAGATACTTAATCATGCACTTTTCTCCACTCTGATGCTGTAGATCTTTTTAGATTGCTGGTTTGGGTGGCCTAAGAGCCAGTTGTTCAGTTCAGATTGACTCAGGCACATCACCTTGACACCTCGGGGGCAGGAAGCTGGAGCAAGGACAGAAGGACAGCTTCATCTTTTGCCCGGCTCGGGTAAGGAGACGCTGTCCTTCAGCACCACTTTTCTGCACATCCCTGCTCAGGCCTCTAGCGGCTGGAAAGGGAATGGATCAGCTCTCAGGGCTTTTAAAGGCTGTTTTGCCCTTGTTAAGTCAATGAAACTGACTACACACAGCAAGCTGGGTTTGGTCAGTGCTGTTCACTGTGCTTTCATGGTGAGTATTGCTTCATTTTGGAACTCCCGTGCCCTGCCTTCTTACAGCCCACAGCACCACACCTAGGGACCAGCTAAACAAGCCACGTGGACAGCCATACTGGGGTGAGAAACACATTCTAACCAAAGAAATGTGAGATAACTAGGTAAATTAACAAATTCCTGACACGACCACCTCACAGAACTATCTGCCAAGTCAGGGTTTATGGGTAACATGTTGCCTGCTAGACCCTCCGAGACTGGCTGCAGCTGCAAAAAATAAAACCGTTCAGATTGAGGCCAATGGGAAGATGCTGCCTGCAGCATAATTGCTCAGGGTTGTTGCACATTGGCTGGCGAAGGTTGCGGACTGCTGCTCTGTGTAATCGAGCAGGTTCCCGACAACACTGGAAGGCTGTTGTGTAATATCAGTTCAAGCAAAACAGGTAGAAATAAACAGACTTTTTTTTTTTTTTCATCTTTAGGTAGAGGTGATAAATTTTTACTGAGCACACCATGTTTTAAAATCACTTCCAAACAGATGCCAGGTATTCTTATTGCCTGGGGCTGATTAAAAAAAAAAGAAGCAGGTAGCTTCTGAAAGAAATCTGAAAAGCTGTTATCCAAGTGGCGGAGGTTAAAGTCTCCATATGCATTTCAAGTAGTTTCGTATCCAAAGCGAGCACTGATTTAAGCAGACAGCTTTGGAATCATGACCTGACATACAAATACATGACTGATCCTATAGTAAATGAAAATTACAGAAAATCACAGGTGTCTGTCCTAAAATTACTGCTTATATGAACAAAGTAATTAAATCTGCCTATATGAACCAAACAATTAAATTTGCCTACTTTTAAAGAAACCCTATCAAACATAGCATGAATCACTCCAATTTGAATATTTTAAGCAGTGAAAAGCCAGAATGGCTGCAAATAGCTTTGGATACAAGCAAACTGAATGATGGAAAATTCCTTATTCATTTATTGTGACAGCACATCTTTTTCCTCCCCTGAGTATTTTTTTATTTAGTTTTACTTGTTTTCTCCAGGCCTCCAGCATATCCAAGGATTTGTCAGGAAGTTGCACTCTGAGTGTTACTTCAGGCTGCTAAATTACAGAAAAGAGTGTCATTAGACTGCCCTGTGCTGAACGGACTGATTTATTTCAGAGAATAACAAAGCAATGAACACTGTGCTGTGATGACTTGCTGATCTAACAGCAAGGCTTCCCAGTACTGCACACGTTTATCAACTTCTGTCTTAATTCACTAAATTTCTCCCCATAAATTGCTCTCTCAGGTTCTCCCTGAGCAACCTCAACTTGATGATGTAAAAATAAATATAATAAGCTCCTGCTCTAAACTGCAATTTGCCCTTCCCTTGCACCCAGAGACAAATCCTCAATCTTTTCTGGTTCTGTGCAGCTAGAGCTCAGCTTCCTTAAGTTAAAGTTTTTAAGTAAGAGTGTGGAAGCCATAACGCTGACAAGCACACAGACCCCAACGCAGTGTCCATCCTGTCAGACCCGCACATCTGCTACAGGCACGCCAGGAACACTCTCCTTAGCTCGTGGCACACGGAACCGGGCAGTTGCGTTGAACCGCCCTCCGGTTCAACCGAGCGGCGAGGCGCCGGGCCGCTGCACCCCGAGCGCCGGGAGGGAGCGGCGGGGCAGCCGCGGGCGCTGCAGCAGCGGCGCGCAGGCCTCTCCCCGCGGCTCCCGGCCGCCCGGGGATGCTCGGGGGAGCTCGCCCTCCTCCCGCAGCCGGGGCCGGAGGGAGGCCGCCGGTGCCCGCGCCCCCGAGGGCGGCGGCCGTACCTGAGTCGCTGAGGCGGGGCCGGGCTCTGTCCCGCAGGTAGTAGATGAAATCCCGGCAGTTCTCGTTCTCCACCGCCCCGACGGAGCACAGCTCGGCCAGCAGCTGCAGCGCTTTCTGGCAGATCTCGTCCTCCCTGTCGCCGGGCATCGCCCCGCAGCATCCTCGGGAGCGGAGCGGAGCCCTGCGGTCAGGCGCCGCGCCGCTGCCCGCCGCCCCTCCGGCTGGCCTGTTCGCTACCCGGAACGCGCGCCCTCGCAGCCGGCAGGGGAAAGTGTCAGAGACCGGTGCTCATTCAGCGGATTCATAGTGACGGGCTAAAAAGAGTTAAAGCGCGGCTGGGAAAGCTCGGGCACCTGAGAGCCAGCCGGAGGGGAGGGCAGGAGAGCCTTGGCGGGGGAGGAGGGGGCTGAGGAGATGTCTGCCATTAGGCATGTTTATCCTGGCAAGTGGGAGATTCGTAAGGTGCTGCTTCGCTTTCTGGGTTTGTAGGCTGGGAGGCTGGTGGGTGTCATGAGGGGAAAAGCTGAGAACTGGCTGCTCCATTTAACTTCATTTTTTTCCCTCTCTCTCTCCCTTTTATAATACTTCAGGAAAATATCAAAGGCCACGGTAAGCTCAGGAAGTTCAGACTGGTGTAGATGTTCAGCCTCCTGTTATCAGCAGGCTGATAACTGTTCTAGAAATAGCATCATCTTCTAGTAGAAGCTTTTTTCTTCTTAAAGAAAAAGGTATATCATCGAAATGAGATGCATTTTGGGAAAGGAGAGGGTATTAAGAAAAGTTGTTTACTGATATAACTTGCCTCCTAGTGCTTTGGCAACATTGCTTATGTCTGAAAGGCATTCCCCCCTCCAACCCCCCCTTTTAAATAGAAAAATTATATCTGTAAAACGTGATTGTATAAGCCAGGCATAATTCCACCAGTAATCAGGCGACTCACTCAGGCTGGCTTGTCGTTATTAATAATTACTAATAGCTAATAAAATAGTGTGTAGCTGTCACAGTTTGTTACCATTGTAATCATATTTTTGAGGGCCAGAGATTTTGGTGACATCAGTATATGTTTTCACATCTAACCATGTGAAACTCTCTGCTAGTGTCAATAAATGCCACACAAATACTCATCTTGGTGCTGGAAAAACCAGTGTCATTTCTTTGCTTCTCTAAGCTGCAGGGAGAAAGACAATTGGTAAGAGGTACTGTCAGTCAGAGCCCTTCCTCTGAAAGTAAGCATCAGGCTCCAGCAGTCCTGCTGCTTAACCTACTGCAGTGAGGAAGGGGCAAATTTTAAAGAACTTCATAGACCTAGAGGCACCAGAATGTCTTTTATGGAAAAACAGGTTCAAGAGGGCTATCAGATTATTAATATGCATGTAAACTCTCAAAGCTATCAAAGACAGAGATATCTGTAAAGTTCAAAGCCCAGTGATCGTGTGTGACCAGAGTTTGAATTACTGAATACAATTTGCCTATAATTTGTATATTATTTTACATATTTTTTGGCTCTATTTTGGTAGTTTGGCACTGACCATGATGGCTGTGCTGTTGTGTAGCTTGACCTCTCTCCAGGACAGACAAATATATCAACTGCAAAGTGATGTTAATGCCAGAGTGTGGTTTTTATCCTGTGGGACCACAAGGCCATTGCTAGCTTGGGATTCGGGCTTGCTGCAGAGTGAGCTCTGGACAGTCTGGTGATCAAGCAGTAATTTCTTTGTCCTTCTCCTTTAACAGAAATCTTGCTTCATTTTTTTGAGTAGCAGCAATTTGAAGGTGCTGAGATGTTTGCAATACAGGTGCTTGGAGATGGAAATTTTTCAGTCTGGTGGAGGAGAGAAACTATTTGGACATCACTGCTTGTAAACAAAGGCATCTATTCTCCAAAGCCCTGAGCTCTGAGTGCACTGTGAGAGCAAATGCCCCCGTCTCTGGAGATAACAGCACTAAATGTAATCAGCTGTGTCTCAAAGCAAGTGCAGCATTTCCTTCCTGATCTCACCTCTGAGAAGCAGCTCATATCTGCCATTTTGTTATCATTGATTGCATGTTTGTCTTCTTGCAGGCACTCCCGGTTTGCTCCTGTGTCAGCAGCAGATTTCCCCAGTTGAGGAGACCATGTTACATTTGAGATCCCTAATGAGTGCTGCACTAATTAACTTTGGTCCTAGAAGGTCACTGAATGATGCAGTGGGATGCTCTTATTAACCTTATCCTGACAGTCACAATCTCTACTGACACAGTAAGTCTATTTTTTTTTCTGTTTAGCTCAAGCTGCTCTCACACAACACAGTGTACTCAGAAGTCAGAAAAAAAATCCCCAAGCCTGCTACACACAGAGTCAGAATAAGTTTAACTGTTTGACCTACAACAGTTCTGTCATCATCAATTGACACATTCGTCTTTCTTTTCTTGAAATAAAGCCTTTCCCCAGTGTTCTGGCAGCAGCACAAGGATTGCTGGCAATGAAGTCACCTTCAAAGCTGAGGCATTTGTGAAACAAATGCATTTCTGGAAGCAAGTAAGGCAGCTTGCATCAGAATTTTTGTTATGGCTAAGCTGCAACCAGAACTTATCAAGTCTTTGTTTTGAGTATTTGTAATTGCTTGACTTATATTTGCCCATTTGGGCACAGCTCATGATGGGAGTACCTTTTTCTTTAAAAAAAAGGAGGAAGGGAGGCCGGGGGTATTTCGGGAAATCAAGAAAACACGTAGAACAACTAAGTCACTAATGGAATACAGCAAGTCAGACTTTTTTTCATGCCGAGAAATCAAAGTTTGTGAATCTGTAGTTAAACAGGAGGACAAAATGACTGAAAACAAGAAGAACGTTGCTGTGGTTAAAGGAGGCCATTTCACCAAAGGCAGTCACCTGTAGTCCAGGCTGGAGAAGGGAAATGCCATGGTAGGCTGAAGGATTGACACATCTTTCAAAAATGTTTCTGCTATTGGCCGTGCCAGACTTTCTGCCTCACTCTCCCTCTTATATACAGTCACCCTTCTATTCATAATGGGTATGCCTTCTGCTGCTGCTGCTGAAAAGTAGAAAAAGCTTAGGTAAACATACAAGAGAAGGGAAATCTGAGTAACTACAACTGGGTTTTTTTTTAAGATGATGTTTTCTGAGCAGCGTCTTTCTTGAGATGAGTTAGTTATTCTTCACAGAAGGTTTTAGGAATGCTTTTAAGGGGAGGTTAGTTATAAAACAGGGGTATGTCCCCATCTGGGCTTTCCCTCATCATTGACTTTTAGAGGTCATATGGAAACAGGTTGGTGTTAACTAAAGGGAAGGTGGTAACATCACTTTGATGATGTTAATGTGAAAAAATAGCTGTCCTTGAGTATAATGGAGTCATTTGAAGATTTTGAGATCAGAATTACATACTCTGATGAAAGAAGGAATAGTAGTGTATTTTCCTTATGGTTTTTATAAAATCTTGGGGCTTTTTGTTTGAACTCATTTCTTGATGATTGACATGTGCTCAGATTTTTAAAACATAATGCATAAACACAGTGTTAAATGCTAGCATAGTACTGATCTTTGTATTTTCCTCTGCAGGAGGCCTGTGAGCTGTTCCCATGTCAGAACGAGTAAAATGTCATTTTGGGGTTTTCTGAATGATGGTAGGGAGCTTTCTCACAGCAGGTCCTGAAGGAAGAGCAAAGTGTCCCTCCTGAGCAGAGGAAAAGTGTGTCAAGTGTCTGAGATGCCATCAAGTGTCACTAGAAGCTGTGCTGTACCAGAGGATTGGGAGTGTACATCTGACAGCCAGTGCCCTGGTACAGCTCAGCTACGTTCTACAGAGTGAGCTGAAGGGGTGTGGATAAAGAATGAGTGGGATTTTTTATGGTTCCTTTTTTTTTTTTTTCAGTTGTTCTTTTCCCCATGCCTCCATTAGACTAAACTTTACTGCCTAAGGAAAAGTTGCAAGCTCAAAGTAGGAGACGCTGCACAGAAGACTGTAAACAGCTCAGCATGAACACAAGCTCTTTGGTATGATGGACCACTTTCATGACCTCCTTATAACAGATTACCATTTTTTTTCTTGATCTTTATACCATTCACATTGTTAATAGAGAGTACCCTGGGTTCTGTAGCATGTCACATGCAATTTTAATCTATCTTAAGAAAGCTTCCTTAAAACTTGAGAAAGAGGGAGGAAAACACATCTCTTCTGATTTGCCTTCTAATTTGACAATCTCTTCCTTGACAGCTTTTGCGAACTCTACAGGGAGAACAAAAAGAAGTGTACTGAATAATTCAGTCTTGAGGAGAGTGAATTGAGCTTGAGGAGAATTGTTGAATTCCCAAGTCTGTGGTTTGTGGTTTTTGTCATCGACTGCTCACATGGATTGAAAATCTTGTCTCTGCAGTCAGTGGTTTTTATCTCCTCTTTGGATTCTGCAGTTTTATCTGGCTTTCGATCCCTGATCACCAGCTCTCTGTTCTTGCAAATAAACACAAAAGAACCATTGAAGGACCTTTCTGCTTCCAAGGGGAGCCACAGAAAGCCTGCTACACTAATAAATCAGAATTTAACTTTGGACCTGAATGTTGTAGATAGTCCAATGAAAGTTGATGGAGTCATCATGCTAAATGTGAGGCACTCTTCCTACTGTCCTCCCCTCACATGCTGGAATATCCAAATTCTCAAGGAAGGTGAAAGTTTGATATCAGAAAAGAACCTGCTGAAAATGGGGTCTCTTAACTCACCCTAAAATTTGTTATTTATATTAACATGCTGATGGGAGCCAGACAATAACAATAGGAGCTGGTCCTGCATGTTATGCATTGGCAGCCAATAAGTGAAAAACCCCAAGTTAATATCATTTGAGAATTTGTAGATGCATAAAATAGAGAGCCCATTTTCTGCAAGGTGGAATGATGATGCAATACCTGTCACTGAAAGTAGTTTGCCCAGAAAAATGTTATAATTGTGAGAGTCTAGCCAGTATTCAGGACTCTATATAAAACCTGAACCATGCTCATCATTTCTTGAAGCCACTAAACATGGTAAATGTTATTACCTCTAAAGGATTTTTTTCCCTGCTTCAATAAGCAGAATCATCTGCAGAAAAAAAAATAAAAATATATATATAGTCTGAAAATTGTTATCACACTGTCAGTAGAACACTTATTTAATTAACTCTTATTGACAATCTCACTGAGTGGTATAGTCCATATAAGTAAATATCTGAGCTCAGTCATAATGTGGACTGCAGGAAGGCTCTGCTAATGTATTTCCATTCAGCTGCTTGCAGCTACAAATTAACATTTCCTAACCAAAAGAAAGAAATAAAAATGTTTGGTGGTTTTGTGATGGATTTGTAAGACAATGCTTTTTTTGTGATGGATTTGTAAGACAAAGGAAGTAACTTTCAGTGAGGAGGATATGGTCTCTTATCCTTGAACTTTAAGAGATAACAGAACCTTAACCTAAAAAAAGAAAAAAAAAAAAACCAAATCAAAGCCCAAACCAAATTCTTAATACCCAATTAAAAAACCCTCAGTTTTGATTCATGGTAAATTAATGCTTTGTAACTTACAGTTATCACTAGTGTTTCTGTAGTCATGGACTTCTTTGAAAGACAGCTAAATCTAGAAAACTTTTTAAATTAAGTGACAGGTCAGATGGGATCTGCTTGCAAGTGAAACAAATCCACAAGTCTCCTTGTGGAGGGACGAAAATTTTTATTCCTTTTAGCTCTATCTTTAGTTCTGATTAACATATAATCAAATAAACTGGAGTCCATCCAGAAGGCAGTTTTGGTTAAAAATAGTCAGATAACTGCATCAAGAATATGCTTTCTGCAAGGTACTCCTGAGGTAGGAAATGCAGAAATGGTGTCTGTTCTGGGCTAAAAATCCCTTTTTCCACAAGCAGGAATTCAAATCAGAGTTGTAGCACATGCATGCACACTGTTTCAAGTGCCAGAACACTTCTGGTTTTAGTTAAAGGGAACAACCCATGTCCCTAAAGGCAGGTGCTTCCCAGTGTGAGTCAGGGCTGCCCCTGGAGAGGTCCTGGAATGCTGGTGTGAGGATTCTGAGGCAGAATCCTGTCCTCAAATCTCTGGCTAAAGATGAAAAACTTACCTTGAAAGTGCCTAGCTTTTGTAACATCTGACTTGGGCACAGCCTTGTTGCTGGGCAAGGGAGTGACAGGAACAACAAATCCCCAGGGGAAGGAGGAAAGGAAGGAATCCCATGGAGCAATAACAAATCCCTGTTCTCCAGGTGAAGGGGGAGAGGAAGGAATCCCAGTGGAGCAATAACAAATCCCTGTTCTCCAGGTGAAGGGGGTGAGGAAGGAATCCCATGGAGCAATAACAAATCCCTGTTCTCCAGGTGAAGGGGGAGAGGAAGGAATCCCATGGAGCAATAACAAATCCCTGTTCTCCAGGTGAAGGGGGAGAGGAAGGAATCCCAGTGGAGCAATAACAAATCCCTGTTCTCCAGGTGAAGGGGGAGAGGAAGGAATCCCAGTGGAGCAATAACAAATCCCTGTTCTCCAGGTGAAGGGGGAGAGGAAGGAATCCCAGTGGAGCAATAACAAATCCCTGTTCTCCAGGTGAAGGGGGAGAGGAAGGAATCCCAGTGGAACAGGGTGCTTTGGCCACACTGTAGCTCGTGGTATCTCAGTGCAATGTGTGCCAACCTCCTGTTCCTGTGCAGCCTCAGGACCCAGTGCTGGGCATCAATCTGCACAGAACAGGGAGAGTTTTATGGGATCTTGGGTATCTCTCTTCCCAACAGATTAGCAAACAACTCCTCTACCCTATTGCATTTGAAATACTGGGGGAATAAAAGAGCTGTGCTGCTGTGTGAGATACTTTTGAGGGAGAACCAGGTAAGCTGTTTCTTTGGCAGAGGGATAATTAAACTTGTGACTGAGTCCCATGTATAAATGAGTTTTTTCAACAAAATATAAACACTTCCATCAGCAGAATTGTGTTTTTTAGAAATGTATCTCTTTGTGATGCTGAGGCAAAAGACACTGCAGTTTGCTTTATTTGTTATAATAATTATAACCTATACCTTAGAATTTTTTTCTTCTACCCTGTGATCATCTCCCTGAATAGCTAGAAGCTATTTTTCCTTCTCTGAGGATGTTCTGATGAAGCTGATGCTGTGTGGTAGGTCCCGGCCACCTGCTTTACTTGGTCATGTGAATGTTTTCCTGAGTCATACTCCCAAAATACATTGTTGCCTAAATCTAGGGAAAACTGACAATCCGTAGCAGTTGAACTTTCATATTACAGCAGAATTTATGTTAAAAATAAATTGTCACAAATGATTACTTTCTGGAATACATGAGTTGCTTGCTAAGAACCTGGGTAAGCACCTAGTTCTCTGTGTGAGAAGGGTTTCTCTTGCCATTAATTACTCCAGGAACTAAAGTCCACACCAAAACAGTAGATAGGAGATTGAGATTAATGTTCCCTGCTTTTCTGGTTAAATATTGAAGCTGTCACAGAAATGTTCTCCAGCCTATGTCAGCTGCTGTTAGCTTTCAGAGCTCATTCTTCTTTAGGCACTGAGATTTTCAGCTTTTTTCAACACAGGAATATCTCTGCAGCCAGAAGGGTTAAGGTTGCTTTAGCAAGGCAGAGGGCACAGGCCATCTATAAGTTGTTCTGTGAGCCAGAGCCTGTGGGAAAACAATATTTTGTGTGATGAAATGACTCCTGGCCTCACCTTTTCCTATGTGATCTGTGCAAGGTGCTGTTTTACTGAAATCCTGCTGTTTTGGCTACTATGACTTTAGATTTTAACCCTTCTGGAACAGTGCCTGGCTTTGGGAGAGGATTCTAAACGGTGTTCCAGGTGGAGCCCACCTTTCAGTCTGAAGGAAAGAGGGGAAATGTAAAGCATGTGCTGGTCCCAGTATTGCCTGGGGCTGTCGCTGCAGTGGTGTTTGAGTGGGTTGATGCCAGCAATCTCCCTGGTCAGTAACAGAGCTAGTTTGAATTTTGCTGAGGTGTGTGCCTGACTCCATGGACTGCGTGTGAAAGTCAGTGGCCTCTTTCCCCCATATTAGAAAATAGAAGGTGAAGAATGCATAATCCACCCTGTACTTGTGCTGGCTGGAGCAGGGTTTGGAACACAAACTAGGCTCATGGGGAAAAACAAACAGAGTGAGTTGACAATGTGAAGCTATTGCAAAAAGAGACAAATGTGACTCTGCAGTTTATCGTGAGGAATATTGCATGAAAGACATAATTGTTCTGATTTGAAATTGCTGATGCTTCATCTAACACAAGTTTTGCATACTGCAATTTCAGATATAGACGAGTTGGAGAGTCCAGAAAAAAGAAAAAAAATGTAATCTTACAAAACAATCATTTGTAAGCACTTCCTGTGAGGAAAAAGCTAAAAAGAAATAGGTTTTATAAGCTTTTCTAAAAGAAAATGATGTTATGACTGTGGAAAAAATTGTTGGTTTTGTAGCCAGGTTTTCTGGCTTCTTCAAATAGAAATTGAGTATGATAACAAAAAATGGGGCAAATATAGTCAACACAACATATAGGAAAGTAAATGCAGTTTTCTATGCAATAGAAGGTGATCTAACCAGAATAAAAAATTAATTTAAGTGAGAATACATTTGTGTTTCAAATGAAAATCATGCCAAAGCATTTTACATTGATGTCTTAAAAGTGGTTTAGTTTAGTATTAGTAAAAATGTATTATGATTTAAAATATTTTTCTTGAGTGAATAAGCATGCCTTTGCAGTTGCTGTTGAATGTGTATTAAGTTAAGAGAAAACATAAAAGGTTGTCTTAATTGTTCCAAATGCTGCCCATCTCAGGTCATTCAATATCCAGTGCAACTCCCACCAAATTCCTTGTGAAGACTGTGGTGACTTTTTCCACACTGTAAAACAGCCTTTACTCCCAAAGTTGGGTAAAATCAAAGTGATCTGTGATGGTGCCTGTGTTTGGGGTATTTCAGTACATGGCAGCATCAGTTCTGAGATTTGTTTGTCTGTGTGGGGCCTGGGGATTTTAGTTCCAGGTGGATCTCATCTTGTCCTCCGCATCTTAAGTTTCCGCTGTAAATTGTGGGCTCACTTCAGCACTGCAGTGTTGCACAGAACCAAGGGATTCGAAGATGAAACCTTTACAGTTCTTTCTTCTGAATCACACAGTGGACTTCACTTTTCACACTTTCTCTTTTTGCACTTTTACTCCAAAACTGCAAAATGATTAAACCAGACAGGTATGTCTACTTCTCAGTATATATTTTATCAAAGTACAGATGTGAGCAAACTAAGGAATGTGTGATATGATTTTTTATTTGTAGTTCTCCTCACTGAACTGTCAGTGGTGACTTCGGTTTCTCTACGTTACATAACAAAGATGTTATTGGTAATAACTTTGCTCTTCCTTGGTAGACATGCCAAATATCAAGGTTACAGGAATTTAATCTCATTATTGATAGCAACTAGACATTTTTAAGATATCAATCAAAAAGATCTTTGAGCTTTTTGTTCTGTCCAACAACTTTATACTCAGGAAACAAGGAGAAATTATAATAAAATATGGTCACCCTGTTTTTTTCAAATGCTCATCTGCCTCTCACAGGAGATTTTAACCTTTGATCAAAGTATCTAAAAGTACACAGTAAAGACCTTGATAATTAACAAGTCGAGATTTACACTCAGTTATGTCTCACAACATAAGTCATATTCATGTGAATGTAGAAACAGTTTCTTCTGAGTGGATTTTCTGCTTTTCACATTGAAACTAACATTGATTAATAAATTTTAATAAACTTACTGTAGCCTTACGTAATCAGAGTGTAATTTATTTTTCTGACCTGAAAGTTATATTTACAGTTTGTATCTGAATTTAAACTTCCCTTTTTTTCATTATCGTGCAACTAGAGATGAATGAGAAATATCTTTACGATTATTTGAAATTTGGAGGACTTTTGTGATAGCTCCAGTTCTAGCATGGGCAGAAAACATGCTTTTTTTTAGAGTGTTTTGGACTTTTTTAGTTTTGCTGATAAAAGTGGAACTGTCTTCATTGAACCAAAGACTGTCATCTTGGGAATAGAGCACCCTGAAGCAAATGCCTGATGCCTCCTTCTACGTCAGTTTCCTCCTATTGCCGTATCTAGATGGGAGGAAGGAATAAATTTTTTAATTCTTTTCTCCTTGACTCTCTAAGAAAGTTTATTTTTCTTATTAGCATTCCTGAACCAAATGAACACCCTGGCATTTCCTTACAGGAACCTGTTCAGTCAAAGCCTTCCTGGCAGTTTGTGCTGCTGTCTCTCGAAGGCTTTGGCACAGCAAGTGGTGAGTGGGACTTCTCTATTTTAGTCCCTGCATCTGGATTAGGGTTGGCTAACAAGATTCTTCTTCCTCCCTCGAGACCTCAGATGACTTCCCATTTCTCTGTATCTTTTGTTGTTTTTCCTTTTCTGTGGTTGTTTTTTTTTAGCTCTTGTGTAGCTCATAAAATCTTTACTCACAGACATGAGGGGTTGGATTACCTGCTTTCCCCAGGAGTCTGAGCTCTTCAGTCCAGACTCCTTGTTGCCATGAGGCCAGCAGGCTGGTACCAGCCTGCTTGCTGCAGATTGTCTTCACCCAGTGCAGCCAGCTATTTTTCCCTCAAACCATGTGGAAAAGAAGAAATGATCCATAGTCAGCCATGGTCTTTGTTTTTTCCCTGCTGTTCTGTTTCTGTTCATGTGCAGGCTTTTCAATTTCATGAAGCAGCTTTACATGAAAGCTGAAATGTAATTGCATCCTCCTGAGTAAAATGGACAATTTCTGTGCTAACCATGTTTTTAAGGAATAAGATTACAGCATTCACTCTCCTGCATGCTTTCTCTGCGAGCGAATCCCTTTGCTGATATAAAAGGATTAAATATTCTAAGACATCAGCCAGACCAATTCTTTATAATTCCTTAACTGTGAAGAAGATCACCTCCATTATTTTTGTCAGGGGAAGAAAGAAAACATAACAGGGAGGCCTCTTTCAATACACCTTGCTTTTCCCTAGCAAATACAAGTGAGGATTCATTTCAGCCTACATTGTGCTTGCTGTTCCTCTCAGCTCTCCATGTTAACTTACACTATAATTTCCTTGTGGAATTTTTGGCATTCTGGTATACCTTGTAGATCTAAGGCAACAAAATAAATATTGTGCAGTTTTCAGTTTTTGCTTCTTTGTTTTAAACTGAAGCCCTGCAGTGTGATAACATTTGTTACCCTGGGAAAAAAAAAATAAAAGGGTGCAGCGTTGCAAATGAAACAGTTTCAAATATTTTTTTATGCCCTACTTTTATAGTTTCTAGTACTCTGTGTCTTGCTCATCTTTATATGGCTGTAGGCAACGGGTGGGTTTTTTTCAGTATTTTGTCTTTCACTGATTGCACTTGGTAAGATTTCCAGGCTCTACTCACTCATGCATTTTATGTTTGACTATGGACAGCGATAAAATAGTTTTCTTATAGTTATGTTGTGAGCATAACAGTGACACTGTATTTCACTTTCCTGGAATAATGTATGACTTCTCCCTGCCAGATGATGTTGCAGACTTACCAGAAAGTATACTTGGTATCAAGATTATGCAATGTAGTTCTTGTTACCAAAATTGTGCTTCCCCTTCTCAAATCCGCACCATCCTGCCCTAAACATTTAAATTTATTCTCTCAAAGCCATCTCTGATATCTCCCAGAATGGTGCCAACTGCCTAAAGAGGAGAGGTTAGGAAAAATAGCACTCTGGCTGTTTTAGGAGAGGTTGTATTTGCAAAGGTGAGAGAGGTTCCTAAACTCGGAACAAGCTGAACTCAAGAGAGGCTGGGCTGTCTGGGGCAATACAGTTCTGCTTTGGACATAGCAAAGTTAGTTGGAGGTGTGGTTAAATTGTTAAGTCCTGTAGATTCCTTCTGAAGGGCTAATTCCCATTAATGTGCAGTCCAGCAGATTCAGCAGATGTTCTGTGTCTTGGGGTGGAGGGGGTGACAAGCTGCTTCTCCTCTGGTCATTGTCATCCCTCCTTGCTGCTGATTGCAGGACAGACCCCGTGGTGCCACATCAGTGACTTTGGGAGCACTGTGTGCTCATCCCAGGCAAACAGCAATAACCAGACAAGCCCTAAGGAGCTATCAGAGCCTATGCCTATAAAATAAGATTATGTTCTGAAAGATGCTGAGCATCAGGTCTGAATAAAACCAGTGAGAACAGAGAGTGTGCAGGGTGACCCAGAGAAATACAGAGGAGGCACTGTGAGTCTAAGAGCATTGGAACTATGAAAGAAACTGTTATGAAATTAAAAACAGTGAGATGTATTTAACTGCTCCACAGCAGACTGGATTATAAACCAATGTGATGCTTAGGGGCTTGTGGGGAAAGAAGGTGGGTGGATTATCAGAAGAGCTGAAATTGCCAAGGAAAAGGACTAAAAAATCCTAATACCGTGATATCCTCATGTGATGTCAGATTAATGAGTGAAACTTTAGGACGGGATTGTCATCTGTGTGTCTGCTTCTGTGTGTGGAAATCTAAAGGGTTCTGACAGCCTTCTTTTTAAGGAAATCCTGTAATTCCTTATTTTTCTCCATGAATAATTGTAGAAATTTTCTTTCTGAAATGTAAGGTGCTACAAATGTCATGATTTTTTCTTTCCCTTTGCAAAGCACAAAAGAAAGTCTGCATTTTCAGGGAACAGCTGGTTATTACAGTATATTTACTTACTGTTAACCTTACTAAATCATGAGAGAGGTAACCATGACTAACCTAATTTTAGCCAAATTGAAGCTAACTTACTCTCCAGTCTCTAGCTGAACAAAAGCATGCATCAATCATCTTCATGAGTTCACAGAATCCTAAGATTACAGGCAACTCTGGTGTTGTGTAACCACCTGCAGATCCTAATGCCAGACATCCTTTTACAGTGGCCCCTGCCTAAAACAACAATGGTTCAAAGCTGTTGTATTTTCCGTTTTCCTTTCCAAGGCAAGCAGTTCCCTTCTCTCTTCTTAGTCCAAGCCTGTAACTACTTCAACCTCACAAGGTCTGCCTTTCAAGAGGTGCTTAAAAATTCCAGAGAGGTAGTACTTGAAACCTGAAGCCAATGATTTTCTACCACCGGCACTATTTATGATGTATGAAGACCTCTGTTAGCTGTTAAAAATAAGAGTACTTTATTGGAGACTGCTGGTGATTACTTGCTCTTTTAGGAAGCACTGATTTTGTGTGATATTTGTGTGGAGCATTACTTGAGTCTAAAGTTTAGTCTTCGATGGCAGATATTTCTCTTAGGCCTTTAGACCTTTCCCATTGTACTTGATTTTTGAGAAGGCAGAGCCTATGCTGTTGGACAAATGCAGACTGAATTGGCTGTGCTCAGCACTCAAAGAGCAATAGCAGCCTTCTGGGGGCTCTTATTTCTAAATCCAACCTTTTTTTTTTACTGCCATAAATTGATATCTGTCTTAAACAGAATAATAGATAAATCCTCTCTCGTCCTTCCAGTCTTATTTTTTTCCATGTGAGGTTTTAAACAATCACCATCAATTTCAGCTTTCCAGCTCTGCCTTCCTAACTTTAAACCAGCCTAAACTGTCCTTTGGATTATTACCAGAAGCTCTGTACCTGCTGTAGCAGTAGTAATTCCTCCATGGTTTCATTCCTGTGTCTTAATTTTCCATCTTTGACAATCCATGGCTGTTTTCACCTCTGGAATTTCTCTGTACCTGACCAGCCACCACCCAAGCTGTACCCACGAGTCTCATACCAGCTTTAGAAGGAGTGACATGACATTGCTTCCTGCTTCTTCAAGCTCTTATTTTAGCTGTGTGAGCATGTCAAGCTCTATCACTCAGCTGCATATGCTCTCCTTTTCCAAGCTCTATCCTTAACCTAAATTCCATCTTTCAGCCTGGCAGTGGGACTTGTTTGCTTACACCTCTGTCCACTGTCCCCAGGTCACCTGGAAGGCTCTCAGCCTGCAGCACTCATCTCACTCCTGCTTCTCTGCTCTCCTGAAAGCTGCCTCCCAGTGTAGTTGTAGGGCTGGCTGGTACTTGCCCCAATTGGAGTGACAGCTCATTTAGCCCTGCTTCTTCCAGTCTCATTTCAGGAGCATCTGCCAGGCTGAAAGCAGGGCTGAGTCTTGAAGGCTTCATGGGGATGGAGTGAGTGCTATGGACAGGACAGGGAGGCACATTCCTTTCTGCAGGGGTTGGGAGAGGCTCAAGTGCCCGCTGGATTTTTTTCAGATCCACAGAGCTAAAATGGGGCAGGTACAAGTCATATCTCAGCTATAGCTTCTACCTTACTTATAGATTTTGATGATAGTTTTACCTGTGTTCTTGCTTGTCTTTTATGATTTAATGCCCGTTTCAGCTTCATGAGTCCTCCTTTCTTGAGCCATCCCTGACTACAGTCTTGGCTGTCACCATTGGGCTCTTATTTGTCTTCCCATGCTAGAAACTCTTTTAAGATCTAGTTCTGAAGAATTTTTTCCCCCTCATCCCTTAATATATCCCTGGCCATGTGACTCGCACTTCCCTTAATTATAAATCATTAATAAATCATTAACTTGTACTTACACCATAATTATATCAGATGGAAGAAAGATACATCTCTTACTAAGGTTAACACTGAGGAATTTGAGTTACATTTTGGAATACCATCCTCTGTAAAATGTCCAGCTGGAGCAATGAGTCCAGATTAAATTCCTGTATAAAGAGAGCTTTTTTCACATTTATCATTGCTTTCTCGAGCATCATCTTAGAGCTGCAGCCCCTGCTTTCCTGATCCCTGTTCATAGTCCGAGCCTTATTCCAAGTAATAAACCTAGCCAAGTGATACCAGCCTGATTCTCTAGGCAGCCA